CTACAGAATAACCTGACAATTACTTCACAGAACATCCTCCCCAAGAATGCCAAAGACTTTTGAGAATGCAAGTGACAGATAGTTCCTCTATTTTCTATTTGTCCCCCTCCACAGACACACAGAATTGATTTTATTCAATCCTGTCTCCCAAAATTCTGTGACTTTGTATTACCCATGTAGTACCTTTGGTAGAAAACTGAATGGTTTTCTCATCATATGCATAAATGCTCAAGGAGTTTTAAAGCATAAATAACAAAATGGGCAGAATTTCCACTGCACTCAGATTAGGAATAGGCACCTATTTTTGTCTCAGTGTGGATAATAACTGAATCAATGAAAGTGCATATTAAAGTGCAATATGCAACAGTGCAAAAATATCTTTCAATCATGCCAGAGTATACCACTACTAACACTTACGTGTTTTTCTGATAGCCATAGAGCTAGGCATCATTCACACAAAACGATGGAAGTGTGATGGGCAAACCTTTCTGCAGCTGATGTGGACTGACTGACTGCTGCCACATGGTCCTGTTTCTTTCTCCCTGCTGTCACTGTCCTCTCAGAACTTCTATTTCAAACACCCAACACAATTTAGTGAAATGGTAAAAACAAACAATTTGTTTGAATTTGTTAACCCATGAGAATTACAGAGATTATAACCTCCTCATAATCCTTTTCACTGGAGGGGAGAATACAGAATGGCTGAGGTTAGAAGGTCATCTGGTCCAACCCCCCTGCTCAAGCAGGGCCACGTTACAGCAGGCCACCTAAGATCATGTCTCCAAGGATGGAGACTCCACAACATCTCTGAATAACCTATGCCAGTCCTCGATCGCCCTCACAGTGAAAAAGGGTTTCCTGATCTTCAGACAGAGCCTCCTGTGTTTCAGTTTGTGCCCACTGCCTCCTGTTCTGTCACTGGGCACCAGAAGTGCCTGGCTCCATCCTCTTTGCATCCATCCTTCAGGTGTTTATATACATTAATAAGATGCTCCCTAAGCCTCCTCTTCTCCAGGCTGAATGGCTCCATCTCTCTCAGCCTTTCCTCAAACATGAGGTGGTCTAGTCCCTTCATCACCTTCATAGCCCTTCACTGGACTCTCTCCAGTATGTCTATCTCTCCCTTGTACTGGGGAGCCCAGAACTCCACTCTAGGTATGGCCTCACCAGTGCTGAGTAGAGGGGAAGGATCACTTCCCTCAACCTGCTGGCACACTCCTCCTCATGCAGTCCGGGATACCATTGGCCTTTGCAGTGAGGGCATGTTGTTGGCTCATGTCCAATTTGGTGCCCACCAGGACCCCCAGGTCCTTTTCTACAAAGCTGCTTTCCAGCCGGTCAGCCACTAGCCTGTACTGGTGCCTGGGGTTATTCCACGTGCAGAACTTTGCACATACCGTTGCTGAACTACATAAGGTTCCCACCAGCCCAGCCTGTTGAGGCCCCTCTGGATGGCAGCACAACCCTCTGGGTGTATCAGCCACTCCTGCCAGTTTTGTGTCATCAACAAACTTGCTGAGGGTACGCTCATCAACCACATCACACAGATAACTAATGAAGATGTTAAATGGGACGGGACCCAGTATTGTCCCCTGGGGTATGCCATTAGTCACTGGCCTCCAACCAGACTTTGTACCACTGATCAGTACCCTCTGGCCTCAGCCATTCGGCCACCCCACTGTCTGCTCACCCAGCCCATACTTCATCAGCTTCTCTGCGAGGATCTTAGGGCAGACAGTATTGAAAGCCTTAAAATAGAAGACGGAACATACTCCTAAATCCATAGCAACCTCACTGAGTTAAAGGTATAGGACTCTGACCTAAGATCAGTATGTTACAGTACTCTGTGAATTAGCAAGCACAATGTAATACAAAGAGCAAGAATCATGTAAAATAAAATATGCTGAGTTTATATACCTAAAAGTACCATTTAACTTTATATTGCATATTATGTTAAGAAGTGTGTTCTGCATTTAAAATGTCATTGCTTCTGCAAATCGGGAAGGATCTCATCCCACATCCTTCAGCTGTCACCCCTTTTCAGAAAAGGAGAGCCGATGTGGCATCTGGAATCTAATTAAAAGATCAATAGGATTCTCCTTCAGAAGGTTCACATAACAAGTGACAGGAAACCGATTTGCTGCCACTCAGCACTTCCAGCTTGCCGAACCCTGAAGACTTAGTTTAGAAGCCATATCTGCTTTGACTATTTTTTTAGTGTTTTCTGCTATTTATCTGCAACTTTGACTTAAACAGCCTAATACAAGAACAACATTTTAAAATGCAATTTAATTAGGCTATATATATAGAAATAATAAAGGAAACAACAATTGATCTAACAAGCACAAGCAACGTATGTCGTTAGATGGAATCAAGAACATTTAGCTGACTCTCATCTCATAAGGACTGATGGGCAAACATCCTCTTAATATCATAATGCTTTGCATCCAAAAATCACTAACTTCTAGGCACCAGAACTCCCGAATGCTGAATTCCTGAATTCCACACAATGAACGAGATGAAAGCTAGAAGCTTGGACACAATCCATCATAAATCACAGAATATTTATGAATGAGTAACTGGAATTTCATTTTTAAGGCATTGCCACAATCTCCAGTCAGCCTTGGCGTTATGCTGAAGTAAATAAAATTTATGCTACCCTCATCATTTTCAGTGACCTGGCAGAAGCCAGATTGACCGGCTATCAATTACACACTCTGCATCACCAGCCTTAATAAGCTATAAGCATCTAAGAACTAGCTCCTTGTATAAAGGGGCACACACATTAACCTCATTTACAGTCATATTCAGATCAGTGTAGAGCTACTGATTTTCCACACTCAAAAGAAGATAATATATTTGTAAGTATTTAGCTAAATTCAGGATTATAATCCGTGCTGAAGTAAATTTGATTTGCTATGGGAGGATTATTTGTTTGAATCAAGTAGGTAACTTACTGCAGAAACCTAAGTAAAAGCTTACTGATCTAAATGGAAGCTACTCTGGTTTTCTGTAGGACCCTATCCAGTGTTAGAAACAAGATTCTAAATCTTGACTTACACCATTTTTCTGATACTAGATGCATACTAATTTTACAGGCCTGGTACACACATTTAGCCCAGTATTTTCTGCTTTTAACAAGGCATTCAGTACAAAGATAGCAAGGTGCCTTATTAGATTAAGTTTGTTGACTTGTGAATGCTCATGATAAAAAGAACAGCAGCCATTTGTTCCTGTGAAAATGGAGAATTGATTATTTCTAGAACATCAGTGTATCTAAAGAAAATTTACACTGCTTCTGACAACTTCTGCACTGATAACAAAAACCTATCATCTTTATCTTCAGTGCGTCAGTGAAGGCTATTAAAATGTATTACGCCACCTCCTACAGATCTAGGGTACAATGCTGTCACAAACAAACCACCCTCATCTCCCAAGAGTCAGGACCTGCAATACAGAGTAAACCCCTGACTTGTCAGCTGGTTGCTAAGTAGGCTTCGGTCCATGACTGTCTTATTGCAAGATTAAATCAATCTCATTTCAGAGTAGGACAGGAAGCATTACATATCTTGTAAAATTAAGATTGTAGTTCAGAAAATCTGGGGTTTTCCCCTCAGTTAGTACAGCCTGTAACAGTGAGCAACAGATTCTATAAACTCTATTTTCTTCAACTACTAGAACATGCATTGACCATGCTTGCTCACCTTTATTGCTCCTTCAGCTTCAAATAACCCAATTTTCTAGCACAGTCACTCACACACACACAAAATTATAAAGCGTGCTTACAAGAATATCAGTAGTTTTGAATTCAGTTTCCATAGCATTTGCCCCAGTAACATAAAGAAACCAATCCCTTTTTTTTCCCAGACTGTTACCTCAGTACAGTTCCCCAAAGACAGATTTGACCATTGTTCCACATGGTAATTCATGCAAATATGTAAGATGAAATAGCAGAGAGATGTTTTTTAAAATGAAAGGGAAAGGTTTCACCATCAAGCTCTCAAAATCTGGAAATTTTCATTTTGGTATATATGATTTATCACCTGAAAATGAGAGCTTACAATAAAAATAATTCTCAAACTACGGCAACCCTACAGAATCAATTCTTCAGTGATCACAGCTGGCCCAAGTCTTTTCAGCTCAGTAATCTTTTCTGGCCATTACAATGCCCGCATTAAAAACATACCTGTCCTTGACATCTTTCATAAGCTGCTGCAAGTCAATCTCCTGCTTCCTCAGGTTTCCAAATGAGGACTGGTTTTCCACGTAGCCCTTCCCTCCAGCTCCCAGGCTGATCCTTCCAAATGAAGTTTCAATACTTCCTTGAACAAAATCTTCAAACCTCCCCATATATTTTGCAAAGTCAGACTCCACAATTACTAGGAAAGCAATAAAAATAATTTCTACCTGTGAAGAAAAGTGCTGAAAAAGTCCTGAAGTGATCGGAAAAACAGAAACGTACAGAAAATATGACAAGTTACTGAAGGCAAGGAACAGTATTGAGTAGGTAAATAATGATATTTACAGCTATGCAACTCTTACTTCTGCTTCCTCTGTATTTTCATCATCTTCACTTCGCTATCTTTTATGTTTTGCCATTTTAGGAAAACATAAGGTGATTGAAATGCTGAGCTCAGATGCTATGGAAGAATGATTTATAAAGAATGACTGAAACTTATTTCAGCTATAAACTACAGGGCAGACTTGCTTGTACTATAGGGTTAATATTTTGCCATTTAATTGACTTACCTCATTATAGGGCTGTTCCAAAGCTCACTGAAAACCAATGGAAGCATCTAATTGGCTTAAAACAACTCTGAATCTTATATACCTATAAGCCAAAGGACTGACTCAGAAATCAGTTAATCTTCCAAGCCAGCTACAATTAACATCTAAACTTAGAGACTTATCTATTTTCCTGTATGGAATTGTGACATGCCCAGAAATATGGGATTCTAGATCATTAATCTTAAAACCTGGTTAGGACTGCTGCAGCTGGATGAAGAAAGATGTACAAGGGTCAACCATTTTTAACAGTCTGTGCAAGAAGAAAGGAAGCAGTGGTAAAACCTGCTTGGCCTTGCCTGTGCAAGCATTCCCAGGGCCACTGTCGCCAACAAGACACTGTTTTTCCAGTGCCTTTTGACCTGGAGCACAGTATAATTTCACATTACTATCACATACTGTAATCCCCAAAAATATTCTAGGGGAGCTCCTGTGGCTGCAGACAGCACTGTTATTAAACAGTAGGACCATATGGCTTGACAACCTTCAGCACACAATTTCAGTAGTCCATCTAGGCTAAACTTTTTTTTTTTTTTTTAAACAAACACTTATTATTACTGGTTTTAGTTAAATGAATAGTCATGTGAGAAAAGATCCAGTCAATCTCATTTCCACGGATGGAGAATACTTCAGAGCATTCCTCTGAAAAGAGCCCTCTAGTAACACGATTGAGAATAATAACAAAAAAGATTAGGTTTTGCATTCTTTTTATCTGTAATAGCAGTGCTGCCCAAGTATGGCTTTACCTGGTTTTATCGGCTTGTCTTCAGTAAGCACATCACTCAGGGTGACTGTCAAGAAGTGATACTTGGGCTTCTGCCAGCACCAGAATTTCTTCCTCTTTGTAACTAAGCTGAGAAGCTGCAGCTTGTCTGAGGCGTTCAAATGGGAGACAGGGATCAAGTCACCTCCACTGTCAGTTTCTCTCACAAAATTCTTTGTTGCTTTTGCAAACATCTTGGGGAATCAATTAAAGTCTGAAAGAATACATTTGTTTTTCAACAACTACAGTTGGAAAGTATAAATACTTACATTGCTCCTTTAAGAAGATCTTCACAGTATGGGTATTAACGCAGGAACTGGTAGTTTTCACCCTATCCTCTCCACTCTGACAGTTCTCCAGTCACGACAGTTTAAACCACTTATCCCAAAGTAAAAAGGTTCTCACAGTAACAGACGAAAGAATTTTAGTTAAAATTTTTAATAATCAACAGTGAATAAGGGAAGAACAATGCATTGCAAACACGATATGCAAGGGTTAAACACTATAATAATAACTCATTAAATTTATGATCATGCAGATAGTGAACAAAGAAAATAAATGTGTGAGAAAATAAATATTCCAATCTACAGCTGAAAAGTTCCTTCAAGGAACGCTCACAGGTAATTAATCTGTTAGGGAGGAAAAAAACTTGCACAGCTTACCTGAAGTTCTAAGAAAAAGCATCGACTAATGAGCACCCGGCTGGGATGACAAGAGCACGGGTGCAATGGCAGCGGATTTCTGCCTCCCCACAGAATCCTTCTTTTATTACCGAACGTAAAATTATCTTACTCCATATAAGGTAATTGGGCATTATTCACAAAAATGATCTTGATCTTTTTAATAGTGAATAAACACATACAGGCATAATAAAAATTATTCTATAAAAGCAACAAATATTTGTGCTGGCATCTTTGTGATTAAGCTTTGTTTCTGAACTACGCCCTTGGAAAGTCCTAATTAATTTCTTTTCTCTCTAGTCCTTTTTACCTTCAACGTTTTCCAATTTTTTATTTTCCATTACCATAACTACAGCTAAACTGAACATATGTCATTTGCATCTGCTAAACAGCTACATATATTATCTATTCTAGCTTTTAAATGTCTTAAATTAAAAAATATTGGCATCTCTTATTGTGTAAGGTTGGTTTCCTTCCTACAGGCACTTTGTTGCATTTACAAGGAAGTTTTTCAGCAAGGGAAACTAGCTAAACTCACAGGAGAAATGGTAAAAATGACCATTCACAAGTGCACACAATTCTAGTAAACTAATTTTTGATTTTTAAAAAAAATCTAATCTTTTTTAGTTTTTCAACTCTATGTTACTTGATCTAATAGTATTTCCAGAATTAAATCTGTTTTCCCAAGTTGGCAGCATTCCTGTGAATCCTCCAGCTGACACTGACTGCAGAGTTCAACTAAGATCATAAGATGTCTCAGCTGGGTATCCACACATCCATGATAAATTACCTGTCTTGCTCCGCAGAGATGTTAGATTTGTCATTTACAAATACAGGCCAAAAGAAGTTAGAACAGACTTCAAACAAAAACGGATATTGCAGTGGGCACTCATGATTATTGGGAGAAATGGAAAACTGAATAAAGGTACTAGTGGTTGCACTACTGGCTCCATGTTTTAGGAAGACAGAGGAAAAAATGTCTTTTTGCCTTCTTTTACCCTTCCATTAGCTTTTGCCAAATCGCATTTCAGGTAATATTTCACACTGTATTTACCAATTCATGCTGAGGAATCTACCTCCTCATGAAACCCCTATGGCCTACTCTCAGTTCTCTATGTCAGCAAGTAAAGGGTGTTTCCCAACAACACCTGCATGGAAAGGATTTGAACAACCTCAAAGTCGTGTAACATTTTACTGGAGAGTCTTGTGGGACTTTCATTGTAATTGTGGCTGCAACAAACCTGCAGCACAGCCCCAGCTATATGCACTGGGAATATTTCCACCGACTTTCTTCTTCTCTGACCTTCTCCTAAACTCTGAACTGAGATTGATTTTTTGCATTCCTAAACTCCTCCTCCTTAATTTCCTTGGTTTTAATCTCAGTGAGAACATTTCAACAGAATAAGCAATGCAGCACCACTGCAGCAGAAAAAAAAAAAACCCAAACCAAACAAACTTATCCCCCCAACAGCCAAAAAAACTAGCGTTTTTCCCCCCCGGGACTTCTTTTTCATGATTCTGTATTTTACAACCAACCATATCACTGATCTGTAATGGAGGGGACCATCAAGAAAATTCTCATTGCCTGCATTAGCTGCTCTTCCCCAGGTATAACCTTCTTCAAATATTTCTGTGGTCTACATAACTGTTGACTTATTCTGATCTCATCCCTACATAACCAACCCACATGGGCACAGTCTCTGAAGAGAACGAGGCCCACCAATTTCTGAGGAGTTTACAGTAAGACAGATTGCAAAAACCAGTTCCTGTGATTTTGCACTGTTACACGCTCACTAAAACTCATGAGAAGAACCATTACATCATTCTATAAAACTTCTGATTCACGGTGGTTTGTCTTGACTCCCAGTCACCAGGCTTTTGAGTAGGAAAAAGGACATCTGGGAAAGACCACAGAGTGCTTATGAGGACTGGTGAGACTCACCAGGCAGGAGAGATGGGACTGTCCTCAGCCTCAGAGTGACGACGTCAGCGTCTTCCACACTTCGTTGTGCTGGGAATGCCTTTGCAGGGAGCATATTTATTGGTGCAGCTGTACCTGCAAAGCAAGAATATTCTATCCAAATTCCTGTTTGTGTCTCTTTGGATGTAATGCCTTTAACACATATTCTAAAATGCACCCAAATACCTTGTTTCACTGGTTCACAAAACAAAGATATAGAGTAACTGAATATGCCCTTAGCCAGTATCAGGGAGTTAATACAGCTACCAGGACTGACAGCATCCTGACTGAATGGACACGGAGCAGTTACGGACAACAGCATTAAGAAAACTCTGCCTTTAGAGTTTCTTCCTCTGAAAATTTTGTTAGAGCTGTGCTTGGTTTGGCAGAATTAAAAGGGAAGGTACCAAAGCTGATAGGAAAAGTCTGTCAGAGTGAAATCACTCTTGCAGATTGATATAGCTAGGCGTGAAAGCAGGAAAGGGAAGAGGAGTACCTTCCTTGCCTACTGAGAAATTTAAAATTAGCCTGAACCTGGGCGGCAGGAGGATTATTCGACAAAGGAGATGAGATCAAGTGAAGATATTTACAGCAACTTCGTTGTTTACTTAAACAAATCTTACCCTGCTTCCTCCCGTTATTCCAGCTCCCTAACTCAATATAGTGGGACATTAGATCCAAAGAAACGTTTTATGAATAATCAGTGTTTACCTTTGTCAGCACAAAAGCAAGTTCTCAACAGTTGCCCGGTATTTCTTACATCCTGTATACACATACACTGACCTTTACAAAAAATACAAAACCAGCTTTTTTTTTTCCATTTAAGAGAAGATTGCCCAGCACACCGGGCACAGTAACACAGGGAATTTGGTAAGAGGGTGCCAACTGGATCGCCAAATGTCAGCACATCCCTCGCCAATCCCAAGCTGTAAGGAAATACAGCCCCCGAAGGCCAAAGGTGACCACGCAGGAGCTGTGGTGTCAGAAGAGCTGGTAGGCATCAGCTCTGCCGTGCAGCAGTGGTGGCGGCCCTTGAATCATAATGAAGTCTGGAGTTTACGCCGAAAGGCAACTAAAGCGTGGAAGTGATGACAAGCAGGACGCGTGTTTTTATTACAAAACCTTATAGTCATTTTCACCTCCTTTAGAGATAAATAAAAAAAAAAAAAAAAAAAAAAAAGCCATAAAGGCTAACACACAGAGCCTAGCAGGGATGTTCACACAACCGGTTTCAGTCCTTGAACACACGTAGTCCCCCAAAACACACCCAATAGATTTCAGCCCTGGATGTAGCCCTCTTTTGTCCCTCCAGGACTTTACAGCACCTGCCTCCAAAGACTTGACGCCACACAGAACCACGGCGGCTCGATGCACCCAGCAGGGACGCAGCCCCCGGGCCCGGGGCTGGAGGGTTCTGTCCTGCCAGGCAGAGCCACGGCTGGGGGCCCACAGGTCGGGAAGGGGCCCGAGGCATGAGAGGGGACAAGCTGCCCTTGTCCTTGGACAAAGCCGGCCACCTCACCAAGACCGGCGCTGAGGCGGCGCAGGCGGGGTGTCCTCCGAGCACCGGGATCCCCCTCAAGTGCTCCTGCGGCCTCGCCGCGCCACGGTAAACCCCTCCCGGAGCCACCAGGCGCGAACTGCGGCCATTCGGCCGCCTTCTCCCCCCCC